ATCACACACAAGCAAGATCCTGTTGACAATGATTCAAAAACGATTGGAACAGGACAGTAAAAGACAACTACCAGAAATGCAAGCTGGGTTTAGAAAAAGCTGTATCTGGCACTAGAGACATCATAGACAATGTCAAATGGATCTTGGTTGAAAGCAGCGATTACCAGAGGAATATCTATGTTTCATTGTATACAAAGGCATGTGACTATGTGGATCACAACAAACTGTGAATAACCTTGAGAGGAATGGGAGTCCCAGAATACCTGATTGTGCTTATGCAAAACCTATACTTGGATCAGGAAGCAGTCATCAGAACAGAGCAAAGAAATACTGTCTTTTTCAAAATCAGGTAAAGAGTGCATTAAGGATAGATCCTATCTCCGTAACTTGTCAATCTCATAAGCAGGACAGATCATTCAGGAGGTGTACTTTATAAGGAGAAATGTGGCATCAGGATTGGAGGAAGATTCATTAGCAACCTGTTGGTATGCAGATGACACAAGCTTGCTTGCAGAAACTGAGGAAGGCCTAAAACATTTGTTGCTGAAGGTCAAGGACTACAGTCAATATAGATTGCAGCTCAACATCAAGTAAACAGATTCTCACTACTAAGCCAAGTAGCACCATAATAGACGGAGAGGAGATATAGATTAACAATTTCAGCTTTCTCAGTTCCATAATTAACACTCTTGAAACTAGCAGTTAGGAAATAAAAAGACAAATTTCATTGGGAAAATCAGCTGCTAGGGACCACTGCAGAGTGCTGAACAACAATGTCAGTCTAGAGACTAAGGTGTGCTGTATCCTGGCCACGGTCATTGCAATTAATTGCTGTGCATCAGAGAGCTGGACATTGACAAAGGAAGACAAAAGAAGAATATCTGCCTTGAATTGTGGTACTGGAGAAAAGTATTTGAACATATACAATGGACTGCTAAGAAAACAAATAGTTTTGTTCTGTAGAGGGTGAAATCAAGTTTCTCTGTGGAAGCAAGGATTTTGAAGCTCTGACATACTTTGGGAATGTTGCCAGGAGGGACGAGTCCTTGGAGAAGGACATCGTCCTAGAAAGGATGTTGGGGACAGTGTAAGACAGAAAGACCCTGGAGGAGATAGGTTGACATAATAACTAGGACAATGAAGGTAGATGTGTCGGAGACAGTGAGATTGGCTCAAGAGAGGCCAGAAGTGAGAGCCGTTGTATACAGGGTTGCTATGAGTCACAGGCAACTTGATGGCACATAACAACATTTATTGTTTGGCTAAAAGTTGAGCCATGCAGGTGAGTTTTAGTCCAGGTGTGAAGGATGACTGAGTGCCAGTGCCTAGGAGGGTTCCACCAGTCTCTATTGGGTAAGTCTGGCTACCTCTATGATGCTTTTTTTAAAAAAATTTTATTCTTTTTGTGTGTATGTGTACCATCAAATCGGATCTGACTGGTACAGGAAGAGATTGCCCCTCCTTCTCCAGCAAAGCATCTGGCACCTCTATGCTTTAAGTCCATTTCTAAAATTTTTCTTAATTGTAAATTCTCTGGGAATCCTCCAACTCAGTGGCAATGAGTTTACTGCCCTCCAGTGCTCACTGTATAAATTTCTCATCTGAATCCCACTTTTTTATTTAAAAACTCAGAAAAGACTTGGAAGAGATCAAACTTTATGATGTGTAGTTCACAGAGAATTATCACACCGACCTCAGGTAACCTAAACTTTTAGTTACTCCACCTGTAACTTTCCTGCCAATTCTGCTTTATTAAAAGCATTTTTTGGAAACTTCAATAACTAACCAATAAAAGTCAGAGCATGTTAATCATCTAATAATGATGTTAATGGTATATATTATTAAAGAAGCTCTGGCAGTGCAGTGATTAAGCACTTTTTCACCAAAAAAAAGTAAAATAAAAAAAAAACATTCTGTACTTTGAACCATGAGTCCTGGGGAGAGGACGTGATAGTTTGTATCTGTAAAGATTAGAAGCCCTATGAGGCAGTTGGAGGGAGCTCTCGTGGCCTAGTGGCAAGAACCTGCACTGCAATCCCGAAGGCATGTGGTTTGATTCTACCAGCTGCTCTGCTGGAGAAGGGCAGGCCATCTTCTCCTGTGCGATTAACTGTCTCTGAAAACCTACAGGAGGTTCAGCTATGGGTGAGTTCCAAATCAATCATACACAAAACCAACATGGGGCAGTTGTACTCTGTCCAAGTAGAAATTGACTGGCAGGCAATGGGTTTCGGATTTAGGCATGTTATAGCTAATGCCGTTTCAAACAAAGCTACACTTGACTTCCGGTTATGTGTTTACAGAGATTTATTTTTACATTTTTAAACTTGGTACTCATGGAGAAAATGGCTTTACTACTTATAATTGTGAATTTAAAAATACCAGTAGTAAAATGTGGAATAAAAATTGGTAATACCATATCAGATAAGGGACTTATATCCAGAATTTATGAAATAATTGAGCACCACAACAAGATAAAGGTAAACAATCCAATAGAAAAATGGGCACAGGATATGAACAGGCACTTCACCGAAGACGACATTCAGATGGCTAACAAACACATGAAGAAATGCTCAAAATCCC